AAAAAGGTTTTTGTTATTGTTATTATTGTCATAAAAGCATAGTGGACAAATGGACATGTAAATGCCAAGTAGTGCTAAAGGACACTCAACACAGTTATACACACAAGAAAATAAAGGAGAGTTACCCTAGTGTCATAAACACACACTCAGACACACACACACCTAAACCCCTCATACACTTAGGTCATTGTCTGAAGGATGGCTATGGGTTTCTATTTGCTGCAATGTCAGCGGGGTTCCCAGGGGCCATAAAGACAGGGTAAAAGGGCTATGGTTTTCTCTTTCTCTCTCTATATATTTCACCCCATGCCAGATTTCCAGCTCTGGTCTGTAGGATCTCAGGCTTGGCAGAGCTGTGTAGCAAGAAATGAAATATGGCAGAATTAAAGAGAGCTACAGCCCTTCTTTAAGCCTCATGCCCACGGGCTTATCATTGCTGTGCCTCATCCATCCAGACAGCGGGAATTTGATTATTTGATTTAGGAGCCTGGAACAAAGCAGGAGCCAAAGACACAGACTGACCGGAAAGAAAGAAAAAGAGTCAGAGAGAGAGAGAGTGAGTGAGAGAGAGAGAGAGAGAGAGAGAGAGAGAGGGAAAAGCAACAAGACAACAAAGCCCACTTTTTTGCTGACAAGGTCACAGTATATCTGACATGATCTTTGCTCCTCTATCATTCAATATTATTCTCTTGGGACATGTCTTACAGCGATGGTGAGGGGCGAGGAGGGTCCCGGCCAGCACATACAAGCCTTTGCCATAAAATTGAAAGTCCCTGACCCTTCTGTAGTTAGTTTTCACCTGCCCTCAAATGCAACTTGATATGACCACACTTTCTACTGATCAGGTGCTTCTGTGATCTTGATCACTGCTTTATCGTTTCATGTTGCAGTCCTGCTTATCGACCACACGAGGTGCTGCGTGTCCTGCCATTTAGAACATAATAAAATCTACAGTTCACCCTGAGTCTCAGTTCATAGATCAATATGGGCTTTCAATTATCCAGTTGGGCCTGTGAGACTAATGCAGTGCATCCTGGGTAACAGACACGGCACACATCCACTCACATACCCGCATATTTGAGATATACATTCAGTTACGAAATCAAGAAAGCTGCCTATCTAGGCAACGATTTTAGGCATCATCTTCAAAAATACTTAATTTTGACTAAAATTGATGGCAGCATCATATATATCCTTCATGGATCAAAATGCATTGATGGCGGTATGGAGCTACAAAAATGTCATATTTAAATAAATGTTATTTTAATTAAATATATATAGTATTTTATTGTAAATGTATTATTCTTATTTTATTATAAATCGTTTAATTTATTATGAAATAATTTAATTATAGTTCCTAATTCAAAATGGCCACTTTTACACAATATATGCATATATCTTTACACATATTTTTCATTTTATTATAATGAAAATAATTTTATTATTTTGTGTGGAAAATGATCAATAAAATACTCTTCCATAATGTAGTTTCTAATTCAAAATGGGCACTTTTACCCAATATATGTAATAATTAATAATAAAACATTATTGTTATTATTAATATTTATTACTACAATTATTATTATTATTTATTAATAATAAAATCAAACAAAAATAAATAAAGATAAATAAAATGTAAATTACATTAATAAAGTATCAACAGAATATTTTCCGTAATACAATTTCTAATTCAAAACCAGCACTTTTACCAAATAGTTATATACTGTTGTTACAGCCATCTTAATTTTGCCTTAATTGTCTTTTTGAATTGAGTAGAATATGTAAAATTTATTGAGATCGTGATTGCCATATACATTTTTGTCCTTGAGCTGAATACCTACCTCTAGTGTTGCATACCGGTCACTGCACCTAAATAATACCTGTAGGGTCCTGCTTAAAGGGATGTAGTAGTCAGCCTAAGATGCCTGTCAGTTAATACAAACAATTGTCCAACCGCATGGCGGTAGGTTGCTTTGTGAGAGTGGAAACTCTAAATGAAAATAAATGGATTATACTTACCTGAAGCGTGTTGACTTGATGGATACTGGCTGGCACAAGTTGGACAATTCTTTTGATTCACTGGAAAGTAAGTTTGTGAGTAATTCCCTTTGATGTCTTGACTTGATGAAGAACTTGATGGAACTGTGCAAAAGGAGCACTGTTTGGCTACAGCAGCAAGAATTTGTGAATTGTTGGGTTTGAATTGATTTGAAATCATGGAGGAGCCAGAGGAAGAGGGAGATTCTTTGGCACAGTTAGTTGGAAGTCGTAGAGGCAAGCTGGGTGCATGCACACGGAAAATGAATGAGATAAAGGAACTGTGTAAAACAAATGGAAGTCCAGACAATGTGAAAACACTTTCAGAGAAGTTTAAAGTTGCTCTGAAGGACTTAAACGATGTTCACAATTAAGTGCAAGCAATGTTGTCAAAAGAGAAAAGGGATGAAGACAATAAGAACTGGTTTAATCCAAAGATTGAGTGTTTTCAGGATTTTTTATTTGAGACTGAAATGTGGATAAAAGATCAAGTGGATCAAAATCCAGTTGAAAGGGACATTGGGACACAACTTGAAAGTACTGTTGCTCCTGATGATAGTATATCCGTAGTCTCAAAGAACAAATCTAAATCCAACACCTCACTAGTTTCAAGTCACACTAGTTGTTCAAGTCGAATATCAAGATCCTCTGCGTCATCTACTGCATCCTCTGCACGTATGAAAGCTGAGGCAAAGAAAGCAGTGTTGATCGCACGAGCTGCTTCCTTGGCAAAGAAACATGCGTTAGAGTTAGAAGAAGCTAAAATAAGAGTAACGAAAGAGAAATCGAAAGTTGAAACTGATTTGGCTGCCTCAGAGGCTGAAATGAATGTGTTCAAGAATTATGAAAGATTACCTCAAGATAGTCAAGATAATCCAGTTGATGGGATGGATATGATGAACACTCAACTTGAAGAGCAGCGAAAGCCTTTTCAGGTATCCATTACTAGTGAGCATGAGCAATCTCCTGCAAATTATGCACCTATAAATGTTGTTCCAAAAACTCCTCTTCAAAGAACCATGCAAAGTAAGCAATTATTGCAACCAATGAGCACAATATCTAGATCAACTCAAGATCAAGTTGATGGTGCAACCACAAATCAACTAATGAATGACAATTCAGCAAATGAAAATATTCTTCACACCATACTGAAACAACAGGCCGATCTGACTGAAATGTTACTTAAACAACAGAGCATGGTTCTCTTGCCAACAAGAGAAGTGTCTGTTTATAATGGGGATCCTTTGAGTTTTATTCCTTTCATGCAAGCTTTTGAGTACAACATTGAGAATAAAACAAAAAATAACGAGGAACGTCTTTACTACCTTGAGCAGTTCACATCTGGACAAGCCAGAGACCTAGTCCGGAGTTGTATGCATATGGATTCCAGTAGTGGCTATAAGCAGGCAAAACGCCTCCTACAGGAGAATTTTGGGGATGACATAAGAGTGACAAATGCATATATTGAGAAAATTCAACAGTGGCCAAACATCAAGGCTGAAGATTGTCAAGCCTTGCGCAGTTACGTTCTGTATTTAAGAGGCTGTTGTAATGTGATGCGTGAATTACGTTATATGAGGGAATTGGATACTGCTGCTAACCTAAGTGTAATTCTATCAAAACTACCCTATAAAATTAAGGAAAAATGGAGAACAGCGGCAAATTACATCTTGGAGGAAACCAACCAAAGGGCTGGTTTGAAGGATGTTGTGATCTTCCTTGAGAAGCAGGTGAGAATAAGTTCAGATCCCCTCTTTGGTAATATTCAGGACAACCAAGGAGGAAGAAAGTCTAGCAATCTAATCAAGATTTCCCATAAAAGGAAGGAACAATAGCAGGAAAAGCTTTGCAACAACAGTATCAACTGTAGCCATTCAAACTCCTTTTACAGGCAACACAGAGGATACTAGAAGGACGGCAACTTCAAATATCCTGTATACATCATGTCCATATTGTACAGGGGATCATGAACTAACCAGTTGTCAACACTTCAATTTACAGCAGCAGGAGAAGAAGGTGGAATTTCTGAAAAGAAATGGATTTTGTTTTGGATGTCTTGTAAGGGGGCATTTAAGTAAAAGTTGCAAAAAAAGGATGACGTGAAATTTGCCAACGCAACGGGAATATCTTCCTAGCTTACAAATGAGAACAAAATGGACCTCAACAAAAAGAAACTTCCAACCTAATGATCTGGTGATAATTGCTGATGAGAAAGCACCATGGAATTCCTGGCTGTTAGGAAAAATTGTTAAGACTTTTCCAGACAGCCAAGGTCTAGTACGAAATGCTCTTATCAAAACTAAATCAAGTACATTATTGAGGCCTATCCATAAACTTTGCTTGCTGATGGAAGCTTCACTTTCCACTTAGGAAAAGTGACAAGTATTCAAGACATTTGACCATAATAATTATGAACTTCCTATGACCTTTTATGAGGCATCTAATGAAGTTAAAGGCATATGAATTATTTTAACCAGTTAAACTGTAACACAACTGTACTTAAGATATACATTTGTTTGATGATTGTTACAGTACTATATCAAACTAATACTATATAAAAAAGTTTATTTTCTTATAAATAATTTCATTTTATAATGAATATAATAATATTATTATAACAACAAACATAATAATATTATAAATCATTTAATTTAATTACAAAATTGGCTCTTTTATCAACTACTGACCGCCTTTACTGTGAAATTAACTGCGAGATTTAGTAGATTTTTTTGTGCAATTCATATACAAATTTATTTGTATGGCACAGATAACAACCCGCTACCAAAGTAGTTGCCCATGTAGAGTGTTTTAAATCAGTCCCTTATGAGGTTTCATTTCAGTTAAGATGCTGCCTTAGAAGTAAAAAAGCTAACTTCTGTATTATTGGATGAGTATTACATGATACGTTTGACCAATGATACTGATTGTATTATTGAGAGTGGTCAGTTTCATGTGTTTCCCACCTGCACTTCTATGTCTCTCTCCACCCGCGAGATGTTGACGGTGTGGGGCTGCCCGTTGGCCAAGTTCCTCTGGTCAATATCAATACTGAAGGGTTCTCTGAGACCACCCAAGTTGTACCGCAGCTGCAGCGTACCTGAGTGAAACAGGATGAGACAGAAAGATCACATTTATCCAGAGCTCAACTGCACTGCAGTCTTCCTGGATGCAGAATGCCTGAGTGAGTGAGAGTTGTGCATCAGTCCTGCACCCTGACATCACTCACCTCCACAGCACTCTCCTGTGCAACGGCCCTACAGACTGCAGGGAAGAACATTACCTCATTTGGGTTACCGCTCAGGCCAGCAAGATAAATTTGCTCAGAGACTACAGGGTAAAATTCGATGTGGGTTTAGGCAGCTTAACACAAAGAACAAGTATCAACAGTCTTGTGTGCCCACTTTGGGTTTTATGGAACGGTGTTTAGCGAAAACGCCACTCTACAAATTAAACAACGGTACATCTGAGTCACTGTGTTTAATGTGAAATCCTGTCCTTGAGGGGAATAAGGGTCTTTTTCTTTAAACACCAGATGTGTTTTACTTCTAAACTCTAAAATAATTGGATCACAGTGTTGTGCTTATGCCAAACAAACAGGGATGTAATTGCCTGCACTCTGCCATTTGTCATATAATTAGCTTTTACTGTTGCGCTTCCACTTCAAAAAGCAATTCAGCCTGGTGCAATAAATTTTCCTTTATTATTACAGTGCAGTTTCAAAACTGCTGCAGAACAATCTTACAGACACACACAGATGTGTGTATTGCATCAGCATCCGGACTTAATGATGAACGAAGACTAACCAGGTGTGATGCGATTTGTCTGTTCATACTGAAAGTAACAATACTGTGCGAGGTGGCACAATAAAAGCTAATCAGAACATATTTGATGTTAAATATATATTTTGGTTCACACTTACAGGCATTTTACTGACTTTACAAGTACATGACATTATTCTACTAACCCTAACCATAGATACACTGTATATACATAGATGCCTCATTAGCGGCTGTTTCTATGGGTGGCTATACATAAGTCATCCGCCATATTGGAATAGTCAAAGCCAGTCTGTGAACACTTGAGAGAAAGTTGACTCTACGTCTGCAACCGTAGTTCCTTTTCGAGGGAACTTCGAACTGCATCCTCTCGAGGTCGCTATGGGGAATGCCTTCAGCGTGACCGGTGTCTGAAGCATACATCTAAAAACGACAATAACATTGGCCGGCGACAGCCTATGACGTCATTACCCTGATCACGCGATCACAGTATAAAAGGGCGCCGGGATAACACGCCATCCTCTTCTTCATCTTCACTGACTGTTTGTTTATGTTAGCATTAAGCTAAAGACGACTAGGTGTGCATGTTTTCTCGCCAGAGGCTTTGCTCTGATACCTGCAGTTTCACACGGCTCGCCTGCTTTGTGTGTGTGGTGAAGAGCAAGCGCGTTCAGCTCTCGAGGGAGTTCGATGCGCTCTGCATTCATTGCTTATTTCTTGTGAGGGATAAGCATGAATTGAACGCGCTCGTCTCACCAGGAGAGGGCTTGTGCTCATCGTAATGCATTCATGGGACTACTGAGGGGGATGTGAGTACTTCACCATTTACCCGAGTTTGTAGATAGTGTTTGCATGAGTGCGTTCGCCTCTCGCGGGAATAGCGATGCATTC